CCCATCATATCTGATGTGTTAGTGTTTCACATCCTTTGCCCATGTTTCTAAAATTAATTGGCTCTTCAAGAGAACAGCACCTGGATGCTGAAGCTGGGAGTGCAGGCAAGTGGATGCAAACTGGTTCAGGAGTGCTCCCTCAGATTCCTGCCCTTTTCCTGGATAATTCACTCTGGGCAAAGAAAGTGGGACAAATTGCATTGCTGTTAACCTCTGTACTCCACTGATGCTACCAGGCCTTACTGGTCATAATGGTTCCCACCATCTTCAACAAGATTTGTATCATTTTTCAGAGAAGGTTTCAAGTTAACATCCCTGAACTGGAACATCCTGCGCTTCCGTTGTGACTGCCCCATCCCTGGAAGTGTCCAAGGTCAGGTTGGATGGGGCTTGGAGCAATCTGGGATAGTGGCAGGTGTCCCTGCCAGTGGCAGGGGGGTGGAATGAGATTTGCCTTTAAGGTCCCTTCCAGCCCAAAGCTTTCTGTGGTTTTAAAAAGGATTTGTCTTCCCAGTAATGTTGCTGCTGTTATTTAAGTCATGCCCAGATAGTGAAGAAATTTACTGGCTACACTCTAAAACCACAAATGAGGTATGAGGTGGATTCACTGCAGAAGGATGGATGGATGGATGGAGGAAGGGAGGGAGGGAGGGAGGGAGGGAGGGAGGGATAGAGGGATGGAGGGATGGATGATGGGCTTAAAAAATGCTTGCGCCTTTCAAGTCAAATATATACTTGTGCTTGCAGACCCAGTGACCTAAAGAAGGACTGTCTAATGGCTGTCCTAGATTCTGGGTAATGCTGGAATAAATCCTCATACAAAGTACTAATGGTGTTGGAAAGGGTAGGAAAATAAGTGTGAACCTTCTGTGGTCAAGACAATCCTGGAAAAGTCAGAGCTCATATGAATTTTGCATGAATTTGATAGAATCCACATGGCATTCTCTTAAGATATTCCAAAAATCATAGAATCATATAATAGTTCAGGTTGGAATGGACCTTTAAAGGTCATCTAGTCCAACTCCTCTGCAATGGGAAGGGACAGCTTCAACCAGTGAGGTAGCTCAGAGCCTCATCCAGCCTGGCCTTGACGATGGAAGGAGGAAACAGCTCCTGAAAGCTGCACTGTTGCAAGTACCTGCCACCTCCTGCAGGCTTAAGGACTTACTTGTGACAGCTGGAGAGCCTAGACATGGGTAAAGCCAGCCAGGGCTCCTCAAGTATCATGCAGAAACTTTGAAGCCACAGGACAGCCCAGAAAATTCTATGGAAAGTACTTTGTTCATGAAGCTCAGCATACTGAAAGCCCCCTCTTTGGTTTGTTTTTTTTTTTTTTTGGAATGTAGGTACAGCCAAGGGTGCATCTTGATTTGAGTCCCAGTTGCTTTTAATGCTACTTTATCCTTTTCAAAGCTTTCAAATATAAGAGGAAAAGAACACCAGCATCTCTCCTCCTTCCCTACTTTCAGCTCCGGTAGACAATCAATGCAGCAAAGACAGCTCCTTCTCCCTTGTTAGTAAATCTGCCCCCAGAGGGAGTTTGCCAGTCATCCTCGCCCACACACAAGCTTTCCTTGTGTTTTAAAACCTTTACCTGAGACTCATCCACACCTCATTTACTGCCCCTGAAAACTGAATTTAGACAAAACTCTGTGACTGCAGTGTGTAGAAATTTTGTGTGTTAAGACATGAGGAGGAAAAGAGGGATGGCCTGTGCCTCTTTGTAGAAACATTAATTTGAGTGATACCAAAGAGAAAAATCCTAAGAACGTGAAAGTTTGTAATGTATAAAAATCAATATTTACCCCAGGACTGATAATTCAGCTTTCCACATGAGTAACTGCAGTATCTATAATGCAATTCATGATGCAAAATTGCTCAAGAAACTCTATTAAACTAGAGAAAATTTGCTAGAAGGGACAATAAAATTAAGGACAATAAAATTAAGGACAACAATAAATTGGAGAATGAGTGAGTGGAGGATGTGGAAAAGACCTTTTGCACAAATCAACAGCTGGAGAGGAAAGACATTGAAAACAAATAGGGCAATAAAAGTAGCAGCTCTGAGGATTTCTTCTTTTTGGAAAAGGACCATTACTCCAAAGACAACAGCACTCCAGATTTGAGCACAGATGTGGGAAATATGAATGGATATTGGATTAGTGGACCAAGATGATAATCTGAGTGCAAGTGGAGTAACTGCTGAGAGCAAGTGGAAACAATTTAACCTCCATGAGGAATACAATGAAGTCATAATCATTATATGTAGTGATTTTAATGTCCTCTTAAATTAACACTTCTGGGTTTTGGTAAAAGCCCAAGAATTTCTGTAATTAGTGATATTACTTTCTTTCTCCCCCCTAAAACCCATTCTCCTGCCTGTAGTGCCTATTGAATAGGGCTATTTTTCATTTTTCTTTTAATTATTATTATTCAGAGCTTTGATATTTAACTAAGGAAATGATCTTGCAGAAGATCATTGTTGTCTAATATGTACTTACGGGTGGTGGTGGTAATGTGTATAAATATATACATACATATATTTATTTCATTCCCCTTCAATTTACACTGCCACATTACAAACCTTTTGCGGTTTTAGAATTACACAGAAAAGAAAAACAACAAGAAAATGTCGTGGAAGATGTTTTCTTTGCTTGCTTCTTCTGAAGATTTTACTTTCTTAATTTTCTAGCCCTGTCCTTTGTATCCCTTCCCATGGAGATCAAAGAAACAGGAGAGATTTAGATTCCAAATAATGCAATGGTAGGACTGTCTTGTCTGAACACATTTCTCTGTAACTTTTTGATCTTAATGTATGACTCCTTAATAATAATGATCCTATGCTATTGATGTTTTGTTCCCCAGCTTCCTCCTTGATCCTGTGTCCGTAATACCTGCAGTATGGTTAATCCAGAACTGGGACTTTCTCATGTTTCAACACAGTCTGGTCACCAAAACTGTTCTCCTGTGGCTGCTTTTGGTCCCTGAAAGGGCTGGATCTTGGATCAAGTTCCTGCAAATACAAGAGGTACTACAAGAGATCCTTCTAGGTTTTGTAGTGAAAAGAGAGTCCCTGCCCTAAAATGGTTATTTTGGGAGGATGCTGTGGTAGTTCTCCACGGAGATGTGCCTTTCTACTGCCATCCTGTAGATCAGGAAGATTGATAAGGCACCAAAAGACGGTCCCTACAATGTCTGTGGGCATGTGCTGTGTCTGCTCAGTGGATGGGAGCCCTGGGCCAACCAGTATTCATAGGAACAGCTCCACTGCCTTTGGTTGAATGCCTACAAGAGGGAACTCAATTCTTTTGATTCTCAGAGTTCTTAGTTGCTTGCATTGAAGCTCAACTAGTATCCTGATTTCCACGGGGCTATGTTAATTTACTGACTGCATTTGATGACCCCCTCAGCTCCTGAACACACACAGCAAATCCTGAAAAAGGACTTCACACTGTCACTTCCTGAGATGGTTTGTACTCCTCTAATGATTGTGTCCTAATTAGCTCTTGTAATTATAACCAAAGGTTTGACACTCCTGTGACGTAAAACCAGTTTTAGGTTGAGCCAAAAGTACGTGGTGTTCTTTCCTTCGAGTTGGGAGTGTGTGGAGATGCATTATTGATGAGGATTTCTATAACAGTCCAGGTTGATTCTCCTTTGGACACTCTTTTATTTCTATGAAAAATGAAAACTGGTCTTATGAATACTAACTTGTATTGTCTGTGGGAAATGGGCATGTAATTTATTGGCAGGACACTGGAATGTCTGCATTATGAGTGGCTGTGTTGTTCAAGAGTAATTCAAGACCTTGAAAGTTCCCTTTCAATTAGCATTTCTGCGACTGTTATTAAATAATGTCAGTGAGGAAGGTGTGGAATGACTGTGTGTTTGGAAGAGCCCACAGCCACATTTGATCATTTGACTCATGGCACCAGAATGAGTCATGGCTAACACTATCTTTTGAGTGTTATTGGTAATTATTGTAGTGTCAAGTCTTACTCAAATAGCAGGAAAATATTCTGTGTATTTTATAAATATCCTCCTTAATACTTTAATCAATATTATTTATAGATTTCTCAACTAAAACACGAAATAATATTTATTATATAATATTCTCCTGAGCACTGGTAGTTTTGGAAAGGTGGGTAAAATATCTTTATTGCCAGGCTCTGCTTTGTTCCATGTAGATGCAATACCTGTGAAATATTCACTGCTCACTCTAAGCCCATCATTTTATCCCATCCCTTCTGTTCACCTATTTATATGAAATGCTTTCAATCTCAGAAAAATGTGTTGCTTATGGCAATCCATTCCTTCCTTGGTAATTGCTGCCCCTTCAGGTACTGTATGGCAACATCCAGAGCTTCTAGTGTCTCTCACAGCTAATTACTGTGTCAGAGAGTTACTCCACTGTTGGGAAGCACTTTTGGGATGACAGTGCTCCCCCTCATTCAGTGTTGTCTGTGTTACTCCAGCTGCCCATGGCGGCTGACAGGGAACTGAACCAGGCACAGATCCACTCGATGGAGGCACTGTCAACCCTCCAGGAGCTTATTGTGGTATTTGTTTTATAACCTCCTGCCAGGGAATAACCAGTAGGAGGAGATTATGGATCAGAAGTGCTATTTATCTAGTTGTTAAAGGACAGACTGCACGAGAGTTTGGCAGTTTTCTTGTGAAGGGTTCAAACTGCTTGGTACAATCAGAAATACCCAGACAGAGAAAAAGCAAAAGTAACTGACTACAAACACAGAATTTGGATGAGCAATAACAAGGATGATCTGTGCTACCTTTAATGGAGGGAGGGCATCTGCACTGGATGCCCTCTGAGGTGAACAGATCAGTACCCTTGATCATTGAATTATGGCAACTCACGCTCAAGTGGAGATTCAGGACTGAACTTCCTCTGGCACAAGAAAGAAAACAGGACCTAAGACAATCTTTTCATTTATGCAACTGTCTGGATCTGGACAGCATTTGATAATACTGCCTCTCCTGGTCCCAATGGAGCAGTCAGGGGAGATTTGAGGAATGAAAATCTCCTGGCTATACTGCTCAGCCCAGCTTCTCTGTCTAACCCCAGTTAGCTGTCCCGAGCATGCATCTGGGGTTTGTTGGTTGATCTCTTCTGGGCCTTTGTTTGTACCCCTTCCATTTGTAAAGAATTACATCCTTTTGCATTTAAAATGGTTCATAAATGGAGAATGTTGTGAATACCCCATCCCTGGATGTGTTCAAGGCGAGGTTGGATGGGGCTTGGAGCAACCTGGGATAGTGGAAGGTGTCCCTGCCCATGGCAGGTGGTTGGAACTGAATGGTCTTTAAGGTCCCTTCCAATCCAAGCCATTCTATGATTCTATGATTTTGTGATTCTGTGCTACTTGTCAAACTTCCTGCCCCTTCCTGAAGCTGGAGCTGCTTTATTTTTGGAAGAATTTGTGTGTCCTGGAAGAGATTCTGTCAGTCCATCACAGAAGAGTCCTGCACTGTGGAGCAGTGCCATTGGATGCAGGTGCTGTTCCCATCTCCTCAGCAAAAAACCAACTGTAGTTTAGCAGAACAGCAGTGATTTGGCATCTGCTTGAACAGGATTCCTAGAAGGGAGGGTTTATTCCAGCATGACCAAGGCTTTGAGGTCAGCCCAACTATGCAATATGAGCTCCTGAAACATGAATACTCGTGCCAGAACCATCATCTCATCATGCAGGATTTGCTTCAGGGTCAGGTATGACTATAAAGAGTTTAAATTCTGCATATTTCTAACTTTTCATGGAAACTCACAAAGAACAATCACACTATCATGTGAAGCAAACTCTGGCAAGGGCTCAAAAGAACAGGAATAAATTTATTACTAGATTTCTGCAGACTTCCAAAACTAATACTTCATTTTTTTGTAAATATAGGTGCTTCAAAGACTCCTTGTGACAAGTGCTATAAAATGAGCTCCTATTGCCTTTCATACTGGCAGTCTGAGGGGACAGATATTCCTTCATAACAGCCTGATTCTCTCCAACCAAGCTTCATTTTCCACCAGAAGTGTTGCATGAAATTTCTGCAATAGCTGTTTGTCTGCTGGCTCAGTTACAGAACCTCGATTCTTTGCCTGTATAAAACATTTTCTCCTGAGCCACTGAACACCCTGCAATGTTCTTGCAACAGATCTCACTGGGTTTTTAATTCTTACAGATTGCTGTAAATATTCTTGTAGTTTACTTGTACCTCTTGCCAGCACAACTTAGTGTGTTAAAGACAAGACACAACACACCTCTCAAATGGAAAAGTTCTGACAGCAGAAGAAACTTCATGAAATATGAAACTGTTTCAGCAAAACTGTACTATTATCAAAAACTTCACTAAAGCCCTACACAGTATGACTTTTGCTGGGTTAATCAAAGCCACATTTATGGAAGACTGACTTTGTCAACTGTCAAGATTATCCCTGAAATCAATAGAGAAATAACTCTTAAGATTTCCCTTCTATCCCAAAATAGGTAGAGCAGAAAAGAAGCTCCTTTTTCTGTGGACCACAGGCAGAGCTTATAGAAATATTAAAGTTAAAATCTAGACTCATTTGACCCAAGGGGAATCTGGGCCTGAACATGCTTTGACAGTGTATCTGGATGGTCTTTGCTATATTGATGGAAATTACTCTGGATACATACACTGTTAGAGTAAGAAATTTTCAAGGCACAGAGTGAGGGAGAGGAAATTTGCAAAATCCACCTCTAAACTATGCAGTCCTTCCAAAAGCCATGAGAGAACTGGTTAGTTAAAGATTTTGTCATGATTTTGGAAAGTTTAGCAAGGAGAAGAACTATTCTTTCCACCCACCACAACCTATTGAGCTAATCTAAAGGGCCATGGGAGCCACTTCAGATGCTTTTTGGGATAGTTCTGCTGTTATACCTGAAAAGAGGGACTTTGCAAGCTTCCAGGAGGGATACAGTTAAAAGACTGGAACTGAATAATAGGAGGAAGTGGGTGGCTTTCATAATGGAGGGAAGTAACCAAAAGGGTTCTGTAGGAAACTGTGCTGTGAATATATCCATTAGTGACCCAGGAAAAGTATTAACACTGAGGCTGACAAAATTTGCTGTAGATATGAATCTATTCCAGAGCAATAAGGACAAAAACCCCCTTGTGAAGAACTGGAAAAACACTTTACAAGATTGAGTGAGAAATAAAAGCACAGAATAAATGTGAAGGGGGAGATGAGTGTAGAGGTGAATGTCTGAAAACAAATCTGATGGGCCTTCATCAAACCATTATGGCTCAAGCAAAAGCTTGATAGTGTGGCAGCAGTTCCATGAAAACATTACTTCAGAGCTCAACAGTAATCAAAAAATGCTAAATCAAATGCCAAGAGTCATTAGGGAAGAAATAGAAAGCAGAATAGATCATTATGACACTGTGTAAATTCATGGTTCTCCCAGACTCTGAATATCATGAAGCATTTGCCCACTCAGTATGCAAAAGTGTTATAAATAGAAAAGCCACTGAGACAGGCAACAAGGACAGTGAAAGACGTGGCATGACTTCCATACAAAGTGCAGTTGCATTGACTGGGTCTCTTTATCTTGGACAAAAAAAAAATTAATTCAGAGTTTGGACAGGGGTCTACAGGACCATGGACAGAAAGGACCAGAGAATTATTAGAAGTCCAAGCAGAAGACTACCAGCTCTTGATGCCATCAGGAGAGAACCTTTGGGTCACTGGTGGAGCTGCTGGTTTAAATATTGGGCATGGAAACATCTGAGAAATGCACATACCTGCTTGTTCCTGATCTTTGTGATCCTGAAAGAGCCCAGGAAGCACCACATCCAACACGCAGAGAGAGGACACCACTGTGGAAAGAGCCTTTGTTCTTGCTCATGTCTGCTTTGCATCTGAACCTGGAGGTGGATGGTGGCTTTCTCGAGATAAGTTCTATGCATTGGGAAGAAGAATTTCTTGCTGTGCTTCTGAAATTCACTGTAGAGGGAATGTCCAAACTGAGTTCAAGCACCTCTCCAGGGTGCTCTTTGTGTAGTAACAGCCTCAGAAAGAACATACACTGGTCACATTGGAAATAATTCTTGGAAATCTCTAATTCAAACTCCAAGCCAAACGATAGTATTTAGAACAGGGAAGCAGGTCAGATGTGGGGGGTTTTTTGGTTGTGTGTTTGAAGGGCTACAAGTGTCTCTACTGTCCAAATCTGGACATCCCACCCCACATGAAGAATTCAGTTTTCTTGAGCTTAATGAGGTTTGAGTGAGCACAAGGTCTTCTTCGATTGTTTGTTGGACTTTTCCTGGAAAAGGCAGCACATGGGAAGAGAACACTTAAAGTTTGTGAGTCAGGCTTGGTAAGAGGACAGAAAAAGAGAGAACTGAGATGCTAAAGTAACTTTTCACGGCACACCTGTTTGATGTTTGTAGTAGTTTAGTCTAGGCCTTCCTTGGTGACCAGTTTGTAATCAAGGAAGTGCCCAAATTACCCAGTGTTCCCTACAATTTTTACGTAAACCAGGAGTATAAGAAGAAAGGAGGAGAGGCCTTCAGTCTCTTTCCTTCCAGCAGCTTTGGAGATGCGGGCTCCCTGCTGTCGAGTCTGCCGTGTTGGGGAGTGAGGCCTGGTAAGGCCTGGCCGACCTTGGGAGGTAGTGGTTGCCAGTGGTCGTTCCATCACGACTCCTGTTGTCCCAAGGAGAGTACTAAGATATTCCTTTGCTAATTCTTTAGTTGCTAGATTTTGAACTTTTGATCATGTATATTTTATTTTGGTTTTGTTCCTTTTCCCCTTCCCCCTTCTCTTTCCCTCTTCCTTTCGGAAACTGTATATAGTATTTCATCTGTAATATACGTAAATACATTTATTTTCATATAAGTTTGGATAGTCTGGATTTTTTTCATAGTTTTTTTCTTAGCACTGAGCTGGGGGTATTTTGGTGCTGGGTCTGGGACTTGGCAGGGAGCCAAGTAAAACTTAGACAATGTTCCACCACAACGCTAAATAATTCTATCTCAGACCAGTAGTTACAAAACAGATTTTCTTGTTACAATGTGAAGAAGACACAGGTAACTTCTGGGACTCTTAATACTCCCATACTGAACAGTAGCCATCAATGGAGCACGTCAGCCCAAATCCCCCATAGTGGCAGTTACGGATACATACCCTGGGAAAGGCTGCAAAGGACATCTGAAAAGAATTCACACTACTTTAGCCACACAGCTAAATTCTCTCCTCTTTCCTGGTCTGTCTTGCCAATAACATGGGCTACTATGACCTGACCTTGGGCACCTAATGCTCCTGCTAAAGGCAAGACTCAAGAGAGAGTTCTTCACCATGAGTACAGAAGTCATCTGAATGGACCATGAAAAATAGCAAAGATCATCCAAGTATTGAGTGAGACGACTAGAAAAGAAATGCATTCTACTAGCTAAATGCAGCTTCAGCTAAATGTGCCATGTCTTTTCCAAGGTTTTAATGTGCTGCCACTGGAGCAGGTCCAAGGGGAAGGAGTTTTGTTCCAGCCTGATTTCCAGATCTTCTCACCAAGTGCTAAATTCCTTGGATCACTTGTTCCAAGCTGCTGTGCCTGCCCAGCTGCTGAGCTCGCTGGAGGGCAGGCTCTTCACCTCTCCCCACACTCCATCTTGCAGTGCTGCTCTCTCTGGGCATTGCAGCAGAGTTACAAGATGTTCTCTGACATCATTTCGTTGGTTGACTGCTTACAAAAGCCAATTCTCTGTTGAATGCTCTTTCCTGTAAACTGAAGTTGATATACTCAGCTAGGAGAGTGCCCACTTCCTGCAGAAGCTGCTGTTGCTTTCTGCAGGCTGAGCAGACCCAGAAGAAAAAATTGTATCTAACTATTCACTCTGAATTCATGGTTTCCCTTTCCAACAATGGCCTTTGGCAGACACTGAGAAAAATGTCCAGAAAAGAGAAAAACTTGGTTGTCCTTTCAGGGATTCTGCCCCAACCTTTGCCCATTCATGAGCTCAAAACCAGTACTCTGTGCCTTTGTGTTTAATAATCCTGCAAGAGTGTAGCAGAGCCCAGTACCCAACCCAGGTGCCCAGTGAGGTGGCACCAGATCCCTGGGGAGCGTAGAGGATGTCTAATGCATGAAAGGTGTTAGAATTGAGCAGAAAAGAGACTCCCTTGAGTTGCTTCTGGTCATCTGAGATCAGATGGGCTGGGTGCAAGTAGGTTGAGTTTCAGATTAGAACCAATTAAGACCTGTAGATCTGGTTGAGTCCAATGAGAACTTGCACAATTCAGATTGGGAACCATATTTTTTATTGAAACAACAGGTTCAATCAACCAGTTGATTGGATCAAAAGAAGCCAGGTGGGAAGCAGAGGAAAGACAGGGCGAGCTGTGAGTAGGTGGGACAGCCACTGCTCCAGCCCCTGCCCCGGGAGCCTTTGTCAGTCTCTGGGCCACAGCCAAATGGCAGCAGCCAAAGTCATGGCCTGCCCCAAAATGACACCAGTGGTGACGGTTTTCAGGGCATTTCTTCTCCAGGCAGCAGTGCGTGTGCTCCAAGGGTTCCTGTAACTGCTGCAGAAATCCCTCCTGGTCCATCCTGACAGGTCTTCCTCTCAGCATGTAAGGGGGGTACTTTTGAATTAGATGATCAGTGGAGCATAGAGGCGTGAGAAAGAAATCATATTAGGATGTGAAACCAGTCAGAGTATTGTACAATGCAACTTCATGGCACAATTTAATCATAAGGTCCATTATGCTTTTTAGCAAGTCAGCTTGATATCCCCTATTATCAGAGCTGAGTTCTTCCTTGGTTTTGCTACATACTGCAAGATAAATACATCTACCCTTGAAACACAATGGTAGAGGTCATACATAGGGGTGAGAAAGATGATAGTGAGACGAATATTATGTGGGCAGGGGTCGCTGGCCCCTTGCCCTACAAGTAGGGCATGCACAGACTGTTGCTGTTAGGTAATGATTAGGTGGTGTTTGCCTGCCATTCAGGCATCACCTTATATGCATACTGGCCCTATGTAGTGTAATGTTGAGCTGATAAAAATGGGGTGTCAGGACGGCTGAACTGAGCGATACTCATCCTGCCACCAAGACTGTGTTGGGCACAGCATGGGCACCAACCAGCTGTTGCAGATCCTGCCAGCCCTGGCCTGTCTGTGTGGGTAAGCACAGTTTATTGATAGGAAGCAACCAAGAAAGCAAAATGTTTAATATCCTTTTAGTGTCCCTTTAATTCCCTTTTATTAGTAAATATTGTTACATAAATATGTTATCCATAATATTTCCCTTTAATTTCCCCTTTTACTAACCAATATCATGTTAATAGTTATCCATAAGATTGTGTTAAGACTTTTTTTGGTATCCCTTTAACTCCCTTTTTACTAGTTAATACTGTATTAAATGCTGTTCGTAGTATTTGTTTTAATGCCACCCGATAAGGTAGTTATTTTGTATCCTTTTTTTAGTTTTTGATTCTCTTTGCTAAGTTTATTATTATTATTATTATTCTCACTGTAATAAAAGATATTTTGTGTTGGAATGTCTGTTACACGTGTCTTTATTCCAGGCATGTATCCTAATGAACTGTTACACAGCATCATGCCCTTCTTCCTCTCCTTAACACAATGGTAAGGGTTAGGGTTAGAGTTAGGGTTGGGGGGTTAGGGTTAGGGTTAGAGCTTAGGGTTAGGGTTAGGGTCAGGGTTGGGGATAGGGTTAGGCTTAGGGCTAGGATAGGCTGTCTCCTCCTTCACCTGAAACCAAGGTAGCCGAGACCCCATGGCATGGAAAGGCTTATTGCTACGCAGTCAATCAATAATCTGGTTGTCAGGGCCCCAGTGAAGGTTGTCAGGGTGTTTCTTCTCCAGGCCGCAGCTCGTGTGCTGCAAGGGCTCCAGCAGCCGCTGCAGGACGTCCCTCCTGGTCCACCCTGACAGGCTCTCCTGGCGGCTGCTCTCTGGTTCATGGCTGCTATTCTGCAGCTGAACCAGAGCGCCAACAGGAGGCCCAGGGCTGCAGCAGTAGCCCGGAAGTGCCACTGAGAGAAATGTCCAGAAAAGAGAACAACTTGGTTGTTCTCTCCGGAATCCTACCCCAGCCTTTCCCCATTCATAAGCCTCCAAATAAATCTTTGCCACCATATTATATTATCTTGCAAGAGTGTAGCAGAGCCGAGTACCCAGGTGCCCAGTGAGGTGGCACCAGATCCCTGGGGAGCGCAGAGTTTGTCTGCGCTCCCCATGTGCATAAGCATGAAGGGTGTTGGAATTGAGCAGAAAAGAGACCCCCTTGAGTGTCAGCTGGTCATCCGAGATCAGATGGGCTGGGTGCAAGTAGGCTGAGTTTCAGATTAGAACCAATTCAGCACTGTAAATCTGGTCGAGTTCAATGAGAACTTGGACAATCCAGATTGAAAACAGTAATTTTTATTGAAACAACAGGTTCAATCAACCAGTTGATTGGATCAAAA